ATTTGGGTAGTGAACCAGGGGAAGGAAGGCCTTTCTCTCTTTCTCCTTTCCATCTCTCTCTCCCTTTATAGCTCTGCTTTTCAAATAAATACATAACTCTTTAAAAATATATGTATAAATCATATATACATATATATATGGAGCAGAAACTTAGTTCTCCCCTTTGCCCCCTTACTCCAAACTTACTATTGCCCAGTGCAGTAACCACACTACTAAGAATCCATTACATGTTAAGAAACCATTATGTGCAAGGAACGCTACAATCACCATGTCTGAGAACCAGAACCAACAATTGTTTCTCATTTCCACTGACATATTACTACATAAGGAAGATTTTAGAGTCATCCACGTGTTTTTATGTAGCAGTTTTCTATTTACCAAAATGAGGTAACTTCGGAAAGATCATAGAAAAATGGAATCCAAAAATAAGTTTATTTTGGTGAAAGTTTTGAGGGGCTAGCACTGTGGCACAGTAAGTTAAGCCTCCACCTGTAGCACCGGCATTCCACACAGGCACTGCTTCTAGTCCCAGCTGCTCCACTTTCAGTCCAGCTCCTGCTAATGGCCTGGGAAAGCAGTGGAAGATGGCCCAAGTGCCTGGGTCTCTGCTACCCACATGGGAGACCCGGAAGAAGGTCCTGGTTCCTGGCTTCGGTTCCCCCCAGCTCCAGCCATTGCACCCATTTGAGGAGTGAACCAGCACATGGAGGACCTCTCTCTCTTTCTTTCCCTCCCTCTGTAACTCTGCCTCTCAAATAAATAAATCTTTAAAAATTGAAATGCATGCATAACTCATCCATAATATGCATTTTCCACAAACTTTTTGAAGTTTCCTTTACCCACCCCGTAATATAATTCCCAACACCTTCTACCATTACAGTGATAAAGTAGAAGAATTTCACAGCTGTCTGGAAGAAACAGTATCCTTGGATTTGTGTGTTTGTGTGTTTTTTTTTTTTTTTTTTTGTGAAAGTGAACTGATTTTAAATTGATTCTCTGTTGCAATTGTTTTTTTCATTCGCAATCTGGAATGATTTTGAGCTGAGCAAGACCAACTGTCATTGATTATAGAGTAGGGAACACACTTTCAGCACCACAGCAGGATTTCTCTAGACCAAGCTTTTCTCTCTAAAATAGAACAAAGTCTCTGTGCCTTCTATTAGGAAAGGATTACCTCCAGAATTTGAACTAATGCATTTCTGTTTTGTTGAGTTGGCAGTTACTCTATGCACAGAGAGCACTGATGACTCCTCAAATATCCAGTCTCTCAAGAGCGTGGAGTCCCAGCTGTAATAAAACTCCACTGGCATTCTAGTCCTAGGAGTCCCAGCCGTTTCACTCCCGAAGTCAAAGAGAAAATACTATTTTTCAAAAGGGAGAGAAAAAAATTAGTTGGAGAGTTCCCCCTACCTTCATTGGTTTGATTTTGGGCAGAGTTCTATGGCCAAGAGCACATATCAGAAAACTACCCCGACCAGCTGCTTGATACTCCACCAGTAGGTAAATCCAGCAAGCAGGCAACACGCAGGAAAGGATGTGGCCTGTGTTCTTAAGAAGCTCACCATCTGACTGTGCCAGTAAACATCTACTCATAGGAAAAGATCGCTCTGAGTAGCTCTCAAATCAACTGAACCAAGGTATTGTGGTATGGAAAAAATAATAGCTGTTCTCTGCTTTATGTATTTCTTTTCTTAATTTTTACTTATTTACGTTTATGTGAAAAGCAGAGATGCATAGGAGAGAAAGAGACCGAGATCAAGACCTAGACAGATCTCTCATGTAACTGGTCCACTTTCCAGATGCCTGCAACAGTCAGGAGCCTGGAACACAATCAGGTCTTCCAGGTAGGTGGCAAGGATCTGAGTCCTCACCCGCTGCCCCCCAGGGTGCGTATCAGCAGAAGCTGGAATGCAAACCAGAGCCAGGACGTGAACCCAGGCGCTCCTCTGTTCTGAGTTGTGAGCGTCCCCAACAGTGTCTTAACAGCTGTGCCAAACACTCACCTTACTCTGAAATTTTCTTGAACGTGTGACACTGACTACTGTCGTGTTTTCTAGAAACTTCCAGTAAGTAGAAAGGTGACTGAGTGGCAGAAACGAGCATTGACAGAAAGAAAACAGCATCAGCTGAACTGGGGAATCATTCATCCAACGATAAAGACGTGCTTCTCATCTCAGGGAGTGGGCTATCTGTGGGTGATACTCTGACATGACACGCATGTTCTGTTTCCCTGACATCTGGTGATATCAGCACACATGGATGGTCTTTGTTTAAATACAAGAGGGGTTGCGAATTAGTGATATATAATTTTTTTGACAGGCAGAGTTAGACAGTGAGAGAGAGAGACAGAGAGAAAGGTCTTCCTTTGCCTTTGGTTCACCCCCCAAGTGGCTGCTATGGCCAGTGCATTGCGGCCAGCGCGCTGCGCCAATCCGAAGACAGGAGCCAGGTGCTTCCTCCTGGTCTCCCGTGTGGGTGCAGGGCCCAAGGACCTGGGCCATCCTCCACTGCCCTCATGGGCCACAGCAGAGAGCTGGACTGGAAGAGGAGCAACCAGGACAGAATCCGGAGCCCCAACCGGGACTAGAACCCAGGGTGCCGGCGCCACAGGCGGAGGATTAGCCTAGTGAGCCATGGCGCCGGCCAAATTAGTGATATTTTAAATTCTATTATGTGTCTGCACTGCTGAGCAGACATCACTCTGTACAAAACAGCTTTCCACAAAGGGAGATGAACAACTCCTTCTGAAAAAGACAGCATGAAAACCAAATTCTCTTTAATTACAGCAAAATTGCAACAGGTGTTAGTCTTAGTACTAGGTACATGGGTGTTCACTGTGTTCTTCTTAAAAGAGTTCTTTTGGGGAAATTCATAATAAAAAGTTTTGGAGAAGTACTAGAAAGAAAAAGAGAAAATGGGAAGGAGAGGGAGGAGGAGAGGGGAGAGGGGAGGAGAGGGGAGATGAACAGGAGTAAAGGTTGATTTATCTTGACACCTGTGGATGAATGTCATTATCCTCATCATTTGGAAATGATCACGTGTTCTTTTTTATGAATTGTCCTGTCACTGGAGTTTTACTGAAATCAAAGACAAGTGGACTGTTAAAAATCATAGCGGTCAGAATCTCGTAACTTGATGCTATCTGTCAAGAGAAAATATGACTGGTATAGTTATTTCATATAGCCCTAAAATTGCCCATGGGCCTATCATATTGTTTGTAATTAATTACAGGAGGTAAAATATTCTCTACAAACAACTGGAAAGATGAAGTGAATGTGTGATAACACCATTCTAGAGTAGCAGGATAGAGGGTACTTTATTCTTTATATGTTGTTTTTATTTTGTATATATCATGCCATGTATAAAATCATGTCACTTATGGTTTCTAGAAGAATAGGCCTGTTTTAAATAAGAAATTTTAATGGTTTCTCTTTAAAAATCCCATAAAAAGTAAAGTTTGCAATTTGCTATTTGTTAGATATTTTGAAATAAGCGAAAGTGTTTCATCTCTTCTAAGGAGTTAAATTCTGAACAGCACCTTTCAGTACTTGTTAGAACTAGCCACCAGATTCAGCTCAACTATGGGAGTTTCAACATTCAGTCTAATTATTGACTAATTTCATTTAGAATGGATCTCCAACAATTAATTAGTCCTTCCTCAAAGTAGTGCAATGGGAGAGGAACATAATTGCCAACCAACAGTGTGTACAGCACCCCCAAGAGGAGTCAGGCAATCACTACTGCTGGAAATCATGCCCAGTTTCAGATTCATCCAGCAGGAGATGCAAGGATGAGCATTTTACAAAATATCTCATGTTTTACCTCATAAACTTTTGTGTTTGGCTCAAATTCAATAGCATCGACCAATCTTGCAAACTTTCAAAAGTGCAACATCTGATCTGTTTGACCACTTTTCCTGGGAACCCAAGTATAAAAAGTAGGGCATTATATATCTGCCTTTTATATGTTCACAAATTCCCCCAAATATCCTAACAGCAAAGATATATTGAACATCGATTATTCACAGGGAGCCATGCTGAAACTCTGAACAGGAATAGAGGCAGGAAACTGAAAATACCTGAAGAGCTCTGCTTTTCCCTCTTACAGTTTATGGTAAAGAAACCAGCTAAATATATACCACACTTAAAAAATACTTTAGAGGAGCTGGTGCTGTAGTGTAATGGGAAAAGATGCTGCCTGTAGTGCTGGCATCCCATATGGGCACCTCTTTCCTGGTTGCTCCACTTCCTATCCAGATCTCTGCATTGGCCTGGGAAAGCAGTGGAAGATGGCCCAAGAGTCCTTGGGCCCCTGCACCCTCATGGGAGACCCAGAAAATCTCCTGGCTCCTGGCTTCGGATCAGCACAGCTGCAGCCATTGCTGCCATTTGGAGAGTGAACCAGAGATGGAAGACCTCTCTCTCTCTCTGCCTCTACTTCTCTGTAACTCTGCCTTTCAAATAAATAAATAAATCTTAAAAGAAACTTTAGAAAAATTTTAATTATATATATTCTTAATTTTCAAATAGGCATTTTTTTAATATCTTTCCCCACAAAAATACCTGGTTTTGAGTCATTTACTTAAGGTGTAACAATTGGTACTCAAATTACTTTGGAAGGAGAGGTCCCTGAAATCAATTATTCCATTATTTGAAGATTGCTGAAGAACTCCATTTCATAAAGGGAAATATGCAGGCATAATCCTCCTAAGACATGTTGAGTAATTTAAAGTTTTCTGAGCTGACCATGGAAGAATAACAAATGTAACCAATCAGTGTGTCATTCATTTCCAGCATATCAAGCCATTACATGTTGTCATTCTCCATCCTCTTCGGAAACACACATGCGTGCACACATGTGTGAACATATATACACACATGCACATGCACGTACACACTCCCAAACATACTTGTTGCTTGTAAGAATATCCTCAAGATTTCTCAAATGTTTATATTCTTGTCTGCCCCAATCCACAGCTTCCTATTCTTCATTTCAAGCCCACAAAGATGTCCTAATTCCCACTGTGGACAGGTGGAGCCTCTTCAGAACGCTTCACAGGGAACTTCTCTTCCTTGATCCCGCGATAGAGTCAAAATAACCTAACAGACTTCAGTGGCCCGACATCCTTCACGTCACTGCCGGCTCTTCATTCAGAGGTGCTTTGGTGGCAGGTGGAGTTATAATTATAGAAGAGAGAAAAAGCAACATCAGCAGCTGTTGCTTCTGTCTGTCCCCAGCTATAACTGTCATCAGTGGGCAAACTGGCATAAACAGGCCTCCACAAGTGGAAAAACATTTAACCCCTGCGCTTGGGCCACTCTGGGTCCTCAGAGCAGCCAGAGAACAGAAAGTCTGACTGTGCATGAGGGAAGGGTGAAACCGAGAGGCAGCCATCGACCTGACGGCACCTCTTCAGGGGGAGCCTGAAACTGGAAGATTCTCTTTCCTGTTGGAGACTCCAAGCCACATAAATAGGTTAGTGTACAGAGTAAACCTCTGCCTTTTCCTTCTGACCTCTACTCTATGTGATCTTGGGTTTATGGGCAGAATTCAAATAGAAGGGTGACCTAGCAAATGAAAGAAAGGAATGTTATTTAAGGACCGTTATTTTAAAACTCCTATGCCCATGAGAACAAATTATCCAATGAACTTAAATTGTTATGTTCCTCTCCCAGTTTTGGCTGTGGTCATATTAGACAAATAGACAGGAAAGAGGTGGAAAAATGAAACCGGTTTTGTGGCATGAGGCCCAGGCTTTTGTAATGCTGCTTACTTGTGCCCAAAGGCCCTGGTTTCTGTACTGAAATCAGTAATGTTGAAGGTTAAGTTTGTGATGAAAAAAAAAATGCTATGATTGCAGCTCCAGAGTTGCTTTTCCTTAGAGAAAATTGGCCAATAAGAACGGGACTGTTTTCCTGGGTCTGAATGAAGACAGAAAATTTTCTTATTTATGATCAAATATGTGATGTAGATAAATTCACATTTAAAAATCTGCTGTTGCATTTATTATTTGTGTGTTGTACAATTCTACCTAAAGCTCCAAGGTTTGAGTCCAAGTAGCTCTAAGACTCTCCTCATAGCTCCTTTTCTGAAAACCAACATTTCAAAGAAATCTCATTTTATCTACATATGATCAGTGTCAGCCAGGAGTTCAGCAAGGTTGTCAAGAAAAGATCAGCTTTGGGCCATCTATCTCAAAACTTAATACTTAACGTCCTAGCGAAAAGCAAGGAATTCTAAAGAATTCCCTGAAAACTAGGTTTCGAAGCCCTGTCCTCATCCTGCCCACATCATGCAACGGATCCAAGTAGAAAGAGTTCTAAATGACAGCCTCTTTTTCTTCAGCTCCAAGCAGAAAGTGAACCATCCATCCCTAAGCATTTCATGCAAGATTTTTCATCAGGAAAATGCATCTCCCTTTACACCATTGTGAGCCAACATTTTGGCTACCTTTTGAAGTGCACAGAGTGCTAACTGTGCACTCACACACCCATATCCAACTAAAAGCACTGTAGGCATAACCCATCAATGAAATTCCCACTTGGGCATTGCTTCTTCCCAACAATACCTCCCAATTTCTAAGAGAGCCATAACTGCCAGGTAGGAAGTTTAAGGGTGTAATTAATACTTCTCTTCATACTCTAGCAAAGAGGCCCCACCAGTACATTTGGCCACAGTTTTGAAGAAGGTAGCACATCAATACCCTAAATCTCCCCTTGATTTAGGAAAATACATGATAGATGACATTATATCTATGCGGACATGGATTCATCCAAATACTTATTGAACAATAGCTATATAATCAAAAAACAATATTTAGTAATTAAAGCAAGTTTAAGATTGCTAATATTACTCTTCCCAGAGACTTCTTTCCTCCTCTTTCCTACTAAAACACATAGCCCTGTGGTCGTGGTGATCCCCAAGTTCCCAAAAGTGTAAACCAAGAAAGGCGAAAGGGAAGATGGCTGACTGGTTGTGGACTTGTGTTGCCTTTGATATGCAGATTTTTGCCCCGTGGTAAACATGACTTCTTACTTGCGTTTTGTCTTCTTGCTCTTCTAGAAAAAGCTATCCAAGATGACTGTCACTTACTCCAGTAAAGTTGCAAATGCAACTTTTTTTGGATTTCATAGGTTACTCCTCAAGTGGAGAGGCAGCATCTACAAACTACTGTACAGGGAATTTATTGTTTTTGCTGTTCTTTACACAGCAATAAGTTTGGTATACAGGTATTTTTCTTTGCATGTCTCCTTAAATAGCCATCAAATATTATGTAAAAATACAGTCTCAAAAATTTGACTCTCTGGTTGCTGCTGACTTTTGCATTTATGTAACCTCTTCCTTTGCATGAACCTCTCTGTTGTCTTCTCCTCAGGACTGGGTCTTTTAATCCCCACCTAACCATTGTTAGGATGTGAACCAGACTCTAACTGGCAGGTTCAGGGGCTCTCATGCCAGGCTCACATTATTGATCATGATGAGGTATTAACTGTATTTTAAGAATTTTACTATCGTCATAAACTGGCAGATCTATACTTAGATTCTATGTGATGATTCCGAATGGACAAAATCCCAGATGAATAATTATTCATGCATCTCTCAACTAAGGCATTCATAGTTGCAATTTGTAATCCAACAGCTTATTGCAACTATATGTGTCATTAATCTGTTCATGAATGGTGCATATCAACAGCTTTTCTTCCTTTTGCCTGGAAGGACAAGATCTGACCCAGTGCCTACAACCTTGTCAATATCTCAGCCAAAGAAAAGGCTTGAAGACGGATTGCCTTTTTTTTTTTTTTTTTTAATCGTATCTTCTGAGTTCAGGGCATGGTATGCTCACAAAAGGAAGCATTTACTTTTTATAACATCACAACCAGTGCATAGCAGATAGAGAATTTGAACAAAATCATGTCTAAGAAATACACCTATGATTAAAAATTATAGTCTCAATAAAAATTTATCCCTGTGATAAGAGGGAAGCTTTAAGAGTTTTTCCTGTGGTTAGAATTGAGTGCATTTCTTCTCCAGAGGAAGCTAAAACTTCAAATAGGGAAGCTCAAGGTTTTTGAGGCTGTATTTCTACCTTTCCTATGTACATCAGTTTGTTGTGTTTCTTCTGCATTCAGATAAACAAATCTGTGTATCATTGCTCTCACCTACGTTCTTCTTTGCAGCAACAGGTCCCCATTTGGAGAAAAGAGATATTAGTTCAAACAGTTCAAATTTGACAATTATCAGAATGAACATAGGAGGAGCTATTTTGCTCTATATCAAAACCACCAAACAAGTATATATTGGTAGACATTTTGTCAAAATACCTTTAGAGGGGAAGTCTTATTTAAAACCTCTAACAACTTTTAAAATGTGTCTTATATATTATTTTGACTATTTATGTGTCACCTAAGTCTTTAGGACATGAAATGGTGGAAAACATAATGATGTTCCAGGATAATTGTCTCATTAGTTTATTTTTACTAATATGAGTTTATTGCTGCTACTGCTGCTTAGAATAGAATAGCCCTTGGAACAGTTGCAATGTAGTCGGATATGCTCTGTGGGACCTCAACTTTTGCTCCAATCTCATAGTTATATCCTCCAAAATTATATTCATACATTTTCCTAAAGACTAAAGAGTGCTAACATTTATAACAACAATCATTAGTCCAAATCCACCTTCATCTTTTAAAGTCCAACTATAAAAGCTTGTTAAAATAGATTCTTTTTTTTTTTTTTTTTTTTTTTTTGGACAGGCAGAGTGGACAGTGAGAGAGAGAGATAGAGAGAAAGGTCTTCCTTTGCCGTTGGTTCACCCTCCAATGGCCGCCGCGGCCGGCGCACCGCGCTGATCCAATGGCAGGAGCCAGGTGCTTCTCCTGGTCTCCCACGGGGTGCAGGGCCCAAGTACTTGGGCCAGCCTCCACTGCACTCCCTGGCCACAGCAGAGAGCTGGCCTGGAAGAGGGGCAACTGGGACAGAATCCGGCGCCCTGACCAGGACTAGAACCCAGTGTGCCGGCGCCACAAGGCGGAGGATTAGCCTAGTGAGCCGCGGCGCCGGCCTGATTCTTGTATCTTAATTGAAGGTATACCAAGAGCCACAGATGAAATTGTCAAAAAAAGTCAACCATACATGTGAAAAAAAGATACATATACACTATTTCATTTTTCAAGTCTATTAAAGAGGCTGTTTTTTAAATTAATCCTATTATAAGTAAATAATTATGCTTAACAAATATTAAGACAGAACTCAATTAATTAATTATATTATATCTCTATTTTTGGAGAAATTTTACAAAATAATCTCTACAGTATTTTGCAGCTATTAAAATTCCTGTCTATTAGCTAAATATTGTTGTTGGCCAATTATTAACATGGACTACTTTATTATTAATAAGTCTGAGGTCATATGTTAGGTGGTTTCATATATATAATTTATTTTCATCTTATTTATTCTTTTTGTTAAGATTTATTTATTTTATTTATTTGAAAGTCAGAATTACAGAGAGAAAAAGAGAGAGAGAGATCTTCTATCCACTAGATCACTCCCCAAATGACCTCAATAGCTGGGGCTGTGCAAGACTGAAGCAGGAGCCAGGAGCTTCTTTCAGGTCTCTCACGTGGTTGCAGGGGCCCAAGTAATTGGAGCATCTTCTGCTGCTTTCCCAGGTGCATTAGCAGGGAGCTGGATTGGAAGTGGAGCAGCTGGGACTTGAACTGGCACCACATGGGATGCTGGCACTCTGGGTGGCAGCTTTACCCACTGTATCACAGCACCGGTCCCTATTCATTTTTTTAAGATTTATTTATTTTTTGAAAGGCAGAGGCAGAGAGAGAAGTCTTCCATCCGATGGTTCACTCCCCAACTGCCCACAACGGCCAGAGCTGCGCCGATCCGAAGCTGGGAGCCAGGAGCTTCTTCTGGGTCTCCCACACTGGTGCAGGGACCTAAGCACTTGGGCCATCTTCTACTGCTTTCCCAGGCCATAGCAGAGAGCTAGACAAGAAGAACAGCAGCCAGGACTTGAACCGGCACCCATATGGGACTCCAACACTGCAAGCGGCAGCTTTACCCGCTGCACCACAGTGTTGGGCTCCCCTGCCATTCATTTTTATATAGGATTTAATCCTTATAACATTCCTGGTATTTAAATTTTATTATCACCACTTACAAACAAGAAAACCAAGACTCAGATTTTTTTTTTTTTGGATAGGCAGAGTGGACAGTGAGAGAGAGAGAGAGAGAAAGGTCTTCCTTTGCCGTTGGTTCACCCTCCAATGGCCGCCGCGGCTAGAACGCTGCGGCCGGCGCACCGCGCTGATCCGAAGCAGGAGCCAGGTGCTTCTCCTGGTCTTCCATGGGGTGCAGGGCCCAAGCACTTGGACCATCCTCCACTGCCCTCCCGGGCCACAGCAGAGAGCTGGCCTGGACAAGGGGCAACCGGGAAAGAATCCGGCGCCCCGACCGGGACTAGAACCCAGTGTGCCGGCGCCGCAAGGCGGAGGATTAGCCTAGTGAGCCACGGCGCCGACTCGAGACTCACATTTAAAATACGCTCCAGGACCAAATCTGTGAGTGGCAGACCTGGGACTAGAATCCGGATGGGTCTGACCCTGAGGTCCTTGCTTTCCACACGGAAATCCTCTTTGACCATTTCTGCTTGCCTATCAGAAACCCCGCTGGCAGTGATTTGTCAGCAGCACAGCCCTCAGAGGCCTGGGTGGCCACTTACCTTAGCTTTGTCAGACTTCAGTCATCCTGCACCCGCTCTGAAGCTCGGCAGGAAGTCCAAGCCCACCTTGTACCATGCACCCTGCGCGTATCACACTGGGTCTTTCCCAGGCTTCCTTCCACCTTTGGTACAGCTGCACCCAGGAACTTATAAATTGTCACATGTGACTTCTCCTGTATTTTGATAATTATTATAAACCTGCCGTGAAACATTTCTTCTGCCTCTGAATCTCTTCTCTACAATATAAATATCAATAATGGTCTCAATGCACTTATGTTTAACACAACCAGAAAGTGGGTTTGGGCAGGTTGGTTCAGATCTAGGATAAAATTTTTGACACAATGACTAAATTTAATAATTTCTGTTTTCACTTCTAATGGTTAAGCACTTTATATTTCAAATAATTGTGGGGTTGGAATTGTGGCATAGCAGGTAAAGCCACCGCCTGAAAAGTTGGCATCTCATATGGGCGTTGGTTCGAAACCCAACTGCTCTACTTCCAATCCAGCTCCCTGCTAATGTGCTTGGGAAAGCAGCAGAAGATGGTCCAAGTGCTTGAAAACTTGCTCCCACATGGGAGACCTGGATAAAGCACCAGGTTCCTAGCTTTGGCCTGGCTCCAGCCCCAGCTGCTGTGGCCATTTAGGGAGTGAACCAGTGGATGGAAGCTCTCTCTCACTCGCTCTCTCTCTCTCTAACTCTGCCTTTCAAATAAATAAATAATCTTTTAAAAATATATTAATTGTGATTTTAAAAATAAAACAGTTATAATGCCCCTTGAAGTATAAACAAATATAATCCAGTATATGCTAAGTGGCATATTCAGGAGAAAGTGAGATCAAGATGTCAACTTCAGAATTATTACTTAACAATTACCTAACCCATCTATTTAATCAATACTCTTTTTCTAAGTATTCCAGATGAATACTTGAAAAATAGACTGCTTTATGAGACATCTTGTGCCAAATCCAATGAATCAACAATCATATAAAACTTTAAAAAATATTTAGTTTTAAAAACAAAATGACTAATAATCCCACTTTTGAATGGCCAATGACATTCATGTGCTAAAAATTTCAGGATGTGAAACATCAAGCAATGACAAAGTTTCTGAGACATATCACCTAAAGTTAAAAAGTTATTGCTCCTTAGGAAAAAAGCCAACAGAATATTTATGCTTTATTGTTTGCACTTAATGTCACTTGCAAAGCAGGTGCAGAAGTATAATATCATAAAGGGCTGTGCATTTTATTTTTGCTCCAGATTGTTACTTACAGGAGCCCAAAAACGTTTCTTTGAAAAATTATCAATTTACTGTGACAGATATGCTGAACAAATTCCAGTGACCTTTGTGCTTGGTAAGTATAGGTCACATGCAGACTGCGGCCACACAGCTGTGTCCATCAGGATGGGACCAATGACTGTGCATGGGAGTGTGCCCAAGCTGCGAGGCATGCCTGAAAAGCCACCGCTTGCAATAGAACCAGAATCCCCTGCAAGGTTTGCCTTCAGGGCCGCTTCTGCTAAATTAACAGCGAACAAGCGTGAGGTAGCAATCTGCTATTGGACAATTAAGCTTTCTCTCTGCTAACTCTCCGTTGTTACAGTCAGTATTTGAGTTCTAATACCCACTCACTGGGTGCAATGGCATGGCCATGATCAAATGCCATTTTTTTTTCTAAAGGGCAAAACCACAGGTTGGGATAGCATCTTATTTTGAGACCCCCCCCAACCCTCTAAAAAAGGCTAAAATTCTGCTAAAAGCATCAGTGTCACCCACCTATCTGCTCTGGGAGACTGCTTTATCATCTCCCGCTGTTCTGCAGGGTTTTATGTGACTTTGGTAGTGAACCGATGGTGGAACCAGTTTGTGAATCTGCCCTGGCCCGACAGGCTGATGTTCCTCATCTCCAGCAGCGTCCACGGAAGCGACCAGCACGGGCGCCTGCTCCGGAGGACGCTGATGCGCTACGTCAACCTCACGTCCCTGCTCATCTTCCGCTCGGTGAGCACAGCTGTGTACAAAAGGTTCCCCACCATGGACCACGTGGTGGAAGCAGGTACCGTGTGCGTGCATTTTCCTAACCGAGATAGGGAGCGCCCAACTTCCTGCGAGAATTCCTTACAGCCATTCATTCATTCATTCAAAAAGCGTTTGCTGCTTTCCTACTATGTGCCAGAAACAGTCTAAAGCGGCAGAGATGAGGAAGTCATGGTTCCTGCCTTCCAGAAGCTTTCTTGGGAAGTGGCGGAAGCACTATATGTCACATGGCCTTGAGGCAAATATAGTAACTGTTACTAAAGTTGTCCATATTATGTGACAGTTTTCCAGTACCATCTAGTATATTTCTTTTTATAGCTATGCACACATAGAGAACACGAAAAGAGCAGGAAGGATAGATTCCGAGAGGGTGTGGCCTGCCCTGAATCACACAGCTGACTGCGGGGATTCAAATTCGGACTCAGAACTCCTTCCTCCACGCTATTCCCAAAATATAAGCAGATTCTGCTGGGAACCCACAACCTCGGCAGTTAGTCTCTGCGCTCCTGGACACAATACATGAATATAATCCTGTTTGACAGATGTTTCTCTTTGGGGATGTAAATAGCTAACAAAGAAGCCATTAAACCAGCCTTCCATAGGGTGAGGATTAAATGAGACAGTTCTTGGCAGATGGAGACGTTACGAGAACCTTGAGATGATTCTGCCTGTGTATTGAATAGCATCTCAAATTAGACTGCAGTATCTAAGACCCCTTTTCAGAAATGTCCTTGAAAGTAGGTTTTTTGGTTTTTTTTTTAAAGAGCACTGTTTTTGCTTTGGGATTTTGTTGGTGTGGTTGACTTTTTTGTTTCTGTTTTACCTTCTTCAAAGGACAATGTGAACAGTGGCTGAAAGCACAGAGCCAAGGGTTTGAACCCGTACACCTCCATCAGTTTGTGCGACTTCCTTACCCTCACTGTGCCTCAGTTTCCTCATCTGTAAAATGAGCTTACAGTAACCTAAGATACTGCGTAGCTCGTATACGTATACAGCACAGACTTGTCATGAGGAGGAAATAAGCTGCTTGCAAAGTGTTAAGGGACTGCTAGTGCATAGCGAGAGCTGCGTGGTTTCTTTTTATTATGAGGGAATCATCTAGAGCAATAGCATCAGTGGCATCTGGGTCACTTTGGAAAACTCGTTATGAGTATGATAACCCAGACTTTCTTGATTCTATCCTGCTGAGGAGTTGGCCACAGTCAAGGGAGGACTAGCAAGAGTGTAAGTGATGTTGTTAGGGATACAGAGGGAGATCTAGAAAGAAATGGGCTGCAAGGGGTCAGTGCCGTGGTGCAGTGGGCTAAGCCACCACCGGTGACGCTGGCATCCCACATGGGCACCAATTCAAGTCCCCAGTGCTCTGCCTCCCTGCTACTGCACCTGGGAAAGCAGCAGAGAATGACCCAAGTATTTAGGCCCTTGCTACCCATGTGGGAGACCTGAATGGAGTTCTAGGCTCTTGGCTTCAGCCTGGCCTAGCCCCAGCCATTGTAGCCATATGGGGAGTGAACCAGATGATGGAATATATTTCTCTCTCTCTTTCTCTTTCTCTGTAACTCTGCCTTTCAAATAAAAAATAAAGGGAAAAGTAGTAGGCTTCAAGGAATCAGTTAAGAATTCAGGTGGAAGGTATGAGTGGCCTGGCGGATCCCATTATGTATTATGATGTAAAACCAGTAGAAATGTTGAAAAAAACTGTCACTTCTCCAAATTTAAAAATAGAATGCTACTCCAGCATGACCAAGTTGAACATGCTACTTGAGAACTGTATTTTCTTACTTAATTTCTTTTTTCTTTCTTTCTTTCTTTCTTTTTTTTTTTTTTTTTTTTTTTTTGACAGGCAGAGTTAGACAGTGAGAGAGAGAGAGAGAGAGAGAAAGGTCTTCCTTCTGTTGGTTCACACCCCAAAGCCAGGAGCCAGGTGCTTCTCCTGGTCTCCCATGGGGTACAGGGCCCAAGCACTTGGGCCATCCTGCACTGCCTTTCCAGGCCACAGCAGAGAGCTGGACTGGAAGAGGAGCAACCAGGACAGAATCCAATGCCCCAACCGGGACTAGAACCCAGGGTGCCGGCGCCACAGGTGGAGGATTAGCCTAGTGAGCTGCAGTGCCAGCCTTCTTACTTAATTTCTAAAGAATCAAACATGTTAGGAACTGTCACGTCTGAATAAATGCCTGAAAACAAACAACTTTTGACCCATCCAAACTGATGCATGAGTGCTAAAATTTGCTTGGATGAATAAAGATAATATTTCTCTAGTTTGGATGCATTCTTGGAATGGAGAAGGCACATTCTATCAGCAATCAGGGGCCAGGCCCAATTCTCAAAGCAAATCCTATCCTCTAAGTGTCACCTTCATATTAAAAGCACATCAGGAGGAAGCCAGGGTGGCTGGAAATGGAGAGACTTCGGGGAGTTCTGATCGGATGTGAGACCAGAGGTGGGAAGGACAGGGACAGGTAGATACGGGAGGTGAACAGGACCTGGATGTGATTTTACTCGCTTGGGGCTTATTTTCTACACTACCAAGACCTACTCCTTGCCACACCTGTACAGGCGGCTGTCATACATTCAGGCTCTTTCCCTTCTAAAGTCCTCTGGAATGTTACAATATCTCTATCTTCCCAACCACCAAGACCTCTTCCAGTCCAAAGGAATCTGAAAATGAATCATTCATTCCTTGATGGCATCTAAACTTGTGTGTCTCTAGGTGCAGTCACAGGCTCCCTAATCTCGAATACCTCGAGTTCTCTATTTAAAGTGCATATTCCTGGGTCTCACTTCAGACCTATTGAATCAGAACCACTGGTGCAGGGCCCCAGAAACTGCACTTCAAATGCAACACGCTTGTTTTTTTCCTACACTGAAATTTGAGAACTACTGACTCTTTTCTAAAGGTATGCTTTCTTTAAAATAGTTTTTATTTTTAATTGACATGTCATAGTTACACATCTGTATTTATGGGGTACACTGTGACCTTTCAATACTACATGCAATGATCCGATCAGCTGCCATGCTTCCTTTCTCACCTCTGATTTTGTCTGTGTCTTCTCGTCTTTTCTCTTTTTCTACTTATTTCAGCTCTCGTTTTTGTTATTTCTTTCCTCCAACCCATTTGGGGTTTGGTTTGTTCTTGATTTCTAAGCTCCTTCAGGCATATTCCACAGATGCTCATTTTTTAAAACTCTTTTGTTGGCCGGCGCTGCGGCTCACTAGGCTAATCCTCCGCCTTGCGGCACCGGCACACAGGGTTCTAGTCCCGGTCAGGGCGCCGGGTTCTCTCCCGGTTGCCCCTCTTCCAGGCCAGCTCTCTGCTGTGGCCAGGGAGTGCAGTGGAGGATGGCCCAAGTGCTTGGGCCCTGCACCCCATGGGAGACCAGGAGAAGGCAAATGTCCCAATTCACTACCCTCTGAGCTGGGAGAAAGGGTCCAGAGGCCATGTCCTTGCTGGCTGCCCCGAGGCTGGCACCCTTTACCCATGGCAGCACTGACTCACCAAACTTCCTGTATTTCCCTAGCAGAGTGGGCTGACTCGGTCTGCACGTGGGTCCATTTCCAAGTTCCCAACCGGGCACAAGCCTCTGCTACTCCCTGACCGTACTTTGCCTGTGCCAAGGTTTCTGGGAAGAACAGCAAGCTCGGGGATGGTGGGAAATGTTTGGCAAATCCCCTGAGTCTACAGCCAAGGCACCTGCTCCTGCCTGAGGGCAGAGAGGACTGGTAAATAAAGCACAGGGGCCCCATAGGAGTGCAGGTGATGCTGAGAACACAAAAAGCCATCAACTGACTCCTACATAAAATTCCCTATCAGGGGCCAGCGCCGTGGCTCACTAGGCTAATCCTCTGCCTTGCGACGCCGGCACACCGGGTTCTAGGACCCATTGGGGCGCCGAATTCTGTCCCGGTTGCTCCTCTTCCAGTCCAGCTCTCTGCTGTGGCCAGGGAGTGTAGCGGAGGATGGCCCAAGTGCTTGGGCCCCTGCACCCGCATGGGAGACCAGGAGAAGCACCTGGCTCCTGCCTTTGGATCAGCGCAGTGCGCGGCCATAGCGCACCGGCCGCAGTGGCCATTGGGGGGTGAACCAACGGAAAAGGAAGACCTTTCTCTCTGTCTCTCTCTCTCTCTCACTGTCCACTCTGCCTGTCAAAAAAAAAAAAATCCCTATAAGGAGAAGCACATATTCTTATCCTTCAACCCATTAGGTACTGTTAAAATCAATATTACCTAAAAATATGGACTGCAAGACACCATTCCCAGAGATTCTTTTTTTTTTTTTTTTTTTTTTTTGGACAGGCAGAGTGGACAGTGAGAGAGAGAGAGAAAGGTCTTCCTTTGCCATTGGTTCACCCTCCAATGGCCACCGCGCTGATCCGATGGCAGGAGCCAGGTGCTTCTGGTCTCCCATGGGGTGCAGGACCCAAGTACTTGGGCCATCCTCCACTGCACTCCTGGGCCACAGCAGAGAGCTGGCCTGGAAGAGGGGCAACCAGGACAGAATCCGACACCCTGATGGGGACTAGAACCTGGTGTGCCGGCACCGCAAGGCGGAGGATTAGCCTAGTGAACCGCGGCACCGGCCTCATTCCCAGAGATTCTAATTCAGTAGCACTTTAGTCGGGGCTCATAACTGAGTTGGGGGTGGTGGTCCCTGGATCACAGGCTAAGAAGAAATGGGGCTCTAAGACCATTGGAGTTCTCCTCCAATCTCTTCTCCCTGTTGCTTCAGGGAGGGTTTTTGCACACACAGTGCTGGCCAGGAGGGTGAGGATCGTGAGAAACAAGGCTTAGTAGCTTATATCTCAATGAGAGCCAGACCAGCTGGGTCACCTGCTAGTTCTTAAACAGTCCTTGCTTTTTAAAAAGTTGTTTAGTTTTTATGTATTTGAGAAGTGGGACAGGGGGCGGAGGGATAGAAAGAGAAACAGAGGATCTCATCTACTGGGTCACAAAAGACCAACTGGGCCAGGCCAAAGCCAGGAGCCTGGAATTCCATCAGGGTCTCTCATGTGCATTCAA